TTAAAACTCTCGTGGAGGTGGTGGCGAAGCAATGTCATTGCTTGTGCCTTGTGTTGCTCACTTTCATTGTTTCCTTGGGTGATCGTATCACCTAGCCCTTTGGATTTCAACCAAAACTTGGCATCTAGTGCCCAAGCCAAATAGTTATCTCCAGAGAGATTAAGGGCAGCAAAATCAAGGCTTGAGAGTTTCAACATGGTAACTACACATAAATAACACCAATTAAAAATCAATTCAAAAATATATAACGAGTATTATTAACATATGATTGTATGTGCACAAATGCATTCTAGTATTTTGCTATTTATAAATAAAAATAAAGGACTCATTATTATACTTCACGATACGATTGCATGAAACATGTTGGTACTAAAATATATCAAATTCTCAACAAAACAATTTTACTTATTCTATTTAAGAAACAATACCAAAAACGTTTTAATAATTTAGTCTTACAATAATTGAATTAAATAGTGCGAGGCTTCAAAGACAAAATAATATAAACCCAAGCATATCAGGATAAAATTATATTCAACGTATTAGACAACACCAACTTATAGATCTATTAAAAGTAATATTATAACAAAACATAGACTTATAGATCTATTAGAATACTAAACGTTTTAGACAACACCAACTTATAGATCTATTAAAATATTAAACGTTTTATTATAACAAAGCATCAATGACTTATTATGAACAATATTATAACAAAGCACTAATTATTACTACTTATAACCGAGCAAAGACCATAATCGAGCAGTGATAGTTGACCAAAAACCATAAACGAGCAAATACCAACATAACTATTTATAATTATAATAGATCACACAAACGATGATATGAGATGAACCTATGATTTAAATAAACATTAAATAGATTTTGTTGTGTTTACCGATGGAGGAAATTGAAAAGTAGAAGTTGGTGATGTTGGTGATGAAGAACGTCGGAAACGGCGAAGAACGTCGGAAACGGCGCAACAAAACGGAGGCTAGGGTTTTTTTTGTTTTTTTTTTTTTTTTTTTAGACGGTTAGGGTTAGAGCGTGCTGATAACGTGTTAAGAAAGAGATTGAAGGGGTAAAATCTATGTTCATTGTATTGATAACCAGAGGGTATATATAGGGATACAAATATGGTGAATAGACTAATGGGCCTATAATGGGCATCCACTAAATCATTCATAACATAAGTGAATTTATCTATAATATTTGTATTTATAGTCAAATTTACTTTTTCCTAAATATAATATTCACTTCCAAACTACGGTATAATATGTGTTTGGAGTTGCTAATTAACTCTACGGTGACCTTTTTTTTGTTTGTTTTTGTTTTATTTTTCTTTTTCTTTTGTCTTTAGAAGTGTTTATTAATAATAATAATAATAATAATAATAATAATAATAATAATAATAATAATAATAATAATAATAATAATAGTAAACATTACGGTTAAGCAAATAGTTATCGACTAGCGAGTGTTGGTCAAAAGTTATACAATAAATAGTTCATGTAGGGCAGTCAAATACAAACCAGAACAGATAGAGTGTTCTACTAAAGAAAACACTGAAAAACAACCATAAAGAACACATTAAAGGATAAAAACTAATTTGACAGATCATATCTTCCAAAACAACCAATGTGCTACCTACTCAACGCCAGCAAGGATTATAGCAGATACAAATTTCTTCAGCTCTGGATCCAATTGCTCGACCGTCAACTCATAACACTCCTCTAAGCCACCGGTTGCTTGTGCGTGTATCAAAAAAATTGACATAATGCCATAATATGCAGGGCAGTGTACCTGGGGTATGCTAGATGGCCTTGTGATGCTGAAAGGGGTCGTTGACCTCTTCCTTTTCCCATGATAAACCCCAACATGGATGAGAAGATATGGCAGCATTAGCGCAAAGGGTTGTAATTCACCAAAAATTTCATGATATTTCCGAAGTTGGGTATTGGAGTCAAGAACAACAATGCTCACGCTGCAGAGATCAATGCACAAAGACACCCAATGGTTCAGATCAAAACTGAATGGCACATAAAGGAAGTCAGCTTCGGTAAAAAGCTCAGGACGTCCACTATCTCCACCACATACTAGTTGCGCAACGACGTCACCGGGAAATTTGAATTTCCCATGAACGGTGGATTTGGAAAACTTCAAAAATTGCCGTAATAACAAGGATACAAAATTCGAATCTGACAAGTCCACTCGCAGTTTTTCCCCATCAAGGTCCTCAGTCCGTAATAAGTGCCGGCTAAACTTGATCAATGCATTCATGACCTGATGAATATAGTAGTTAAAAGTCATCAATAAGTCACACAACTCGAAATAGAAGAGAATAACAACCTCACCTTGGATGAGAGATGTTTTTTCCTCTTTATTATATCAAACACCTTTGTATTAGAAAGAGAAGCCTCACCACCCAGGCTGATTGATCTTTGGCATCTAAGAGAAGCACATAGTTAATATACCATTATCTCTTTGAAAATATCCTTAAACAAAATACTAAGGTACCTTGAGGCCATCAACTTTTTAATGGAATTCTAGAACCGTTTCTCCGGGTCATCTACAAAATTAAGATCCTTGACGACCGGGGAAGGGTGTCCAACTAACAGTTTAGTCTTCTTGTCGTACTGGAACCGGCCATCCAACTTAGTAGAAAATGTCCTTAACCTTTTGCTCCTCCTACCGGGGACAGCTTCGGCAACCTTTGCAAAAGGGGAGATTAGTTAGTGGATAAATCAATTGTTGTATGGTTTCACATTTATTATATAAAAAATAGAAAATAAATAACACCTGTTTTCCAATTTCCATATTAGTTTCTCTGTCATCGAGGGGAGGAGGCGTCAAATCCCTACGAAAAAGGAAGAACCAAAATAAATCAAATTCAATTGCCAAGTAGGTCTAATATCACTAACCCAACATTTACCTCGATAAAAATCATCAAAAAACAGCGTGAGTAAATAACCAAACAAACAAACTTGGCAGAAACAGAAAATTATCGGCTTCCACCCGGCTGAACCGCAGCCTCTACTTGGGGATTCAAAACATTGACTTCCTACATAGATAGAAAAATTTTAACAGGATTGAGCTTATCTGCTTGAGCATTGTCTGTTTTCAGGGATATAATTATAATTTGTTTCATTCATTAAGAAAGTATAATTAGGTATGACCACTAGACTTACATATAATATAATTTAACTGGTAGAGTATTACGGTACTATATAAATTAAACGTTAATATAACTTTTACGGTATTTAAAATAATATATCCATTAATAATATATGTAGTAGATAACTTTTTAAAAAGGTAAAAAATACAGAATAAATCTGGCCAGGAATCGCCATTGTATTTAGCGAGTACAAAAAGTTAATTTGAACACAACTAACTCTAAACTTATTAATTAACCATGTTGATATCCATCTCAACGGGACCGGCCTCACCAACGACTCCTAATTCGACAGCAACAGCGGGAGGTCCCAACAGCTGAGGCAGTTTAAACACATGTTAATAACCGTTTTATTCGATAAATACAAGTAAATAATTAACAACTGACCCTATCTCCTTCAGCACCCTCTGCTATTGGTGAGGGGAACGATTGTACTCCAACACTTTTAATAACCCCAACACCAGTCTGATCTATGATCTGAGAGAATTAAAAAAAAAAAACTAATGCTTCTAAAGTAAGGCCGCTACAAGAAAAGTGAATCATTGTGACTTTTGTTAGAGACTAAAATATATAGTCACAAATTTGTGACTTACGTAGATACAATTTTGTAACGTATTTTTTTGTCATAAATTCGTAATTGTTTCGTCACAATATTATAACGAACAAAGTCGTCCCTAATTATTGTCTCAAGTCGTGACAAAATAGTGTCGATAATAACTATTGTAACAACTATGACGATTTTATTACCAATATGTACTTGTAAATCGTGACTTTAATTTGATACTCAAAATTTGTCACACATTTGTGACTTTTTAGATACTAAATTAAGACCAAAATATGTTGTAACAAATTTGTAATTATTTTGTCATAAGATTGTTACAGATTAATTAAGTCATGTAAAAATTGTCTCAATCATTGACAAAATTGTGAGGATAATTTCAGTCATAACAATTGTAATAGTTATGTGACATTTTTTTCTCAAAAATACATTTTGTAACAAATTTAATATAAAATTTTATATAGAGAATGTTCAATGAATTGTGGAGGAAAATAGAAATTAATAATAAAAAATATTTAAAATAATATAGGAAAAATAATTATTCTTTAAAGCTAAAAATGCTCTCATTGTTTATAAAGTAAATAAAAATCTGAACTTAAAGCTAAACATCCATCTTAAGCTTGCTTGGTGTGTATCCAACTCATAACTACCACTTAGTCCCTGCTTAAACAACATGAATATAAACACTTAAATTTTTTTATAGTAAAAGCAAAATATATAATTGACAAATATTTATATTTTGCCTTTTGTTGTTGGTATTAGAACTAACAAAAGAGTTAATAAGATTATGCAATTTCTTTAATTCCTCTTCTAGGTAATTGACTCGGCTTTTCAAAGAAATTATCTCTTCTTCAGTGGTTGTTGTTGTTGTAGTGCGATTCTGGTTAAATCTTCTTTTAGTGTAACTTTGATTGTTTGCCGGTTTTCGAAAAACGCTAGACGTATTTTTGTAATCTTCCTCTATGTCACTTTCATCGATGATTTAGATGATCAATTTCTCTAACCTACAAGGAAAATAATTCATCATCTTGATAGAAATTAAAAAATAATTCATCATCTAGATAGAGATTAAAAATGGTTCAAAAGTAAAAAGCAATACCTGTGTATGACAAATATCGATTGTACTTTCAGATTTTGTGATTTTTTTTCTTTATTTCTGTCTCATATATACATTCAACTTCTCCGGGAATAAAAGAATCAAAACCATCACTTGTATCTAGCATCGGCGATTCATAGACATAGTCCGGAAACCAGTTACCTAAGTGAAGAGGTTCTAATGAAAAATGAATTAGATCAAAGTAGATTAGGTTCCCAAAATAAATAGAATAAGCAAATACGGTTTACAAGATGATAAGTGAAATAATATTTACCAAAGATCAATGAATCATCAAGACTATCATCTGAAATCTACACAAGTAGTAATTAAACAATAAAAAATGGTTCTAACAAATGAGTTACAAAGAGCACAAACAAATGAGTTATAACATAACAATCCGAAACTTACAACAACGGTGTTAGGATTAATTTCAAAGGGTTTGTCACGCGCAATGTCCTTAACGGAAAAATTACAAAACTTCAACAAAAGTAAATACATATTAACACCAGAGTTATTGGTCAAATTAATGATATTTTGCAGCCTAATTCTAATGATTATATGTCTACTTAATCTAACTTAACCATACATTCGAAGGAATAAAGGCTACCCCATACAAAAAAACTAATCACTAAAAATAACAGTTGGAAAAGCATAGCTTCTAAATAAAACCCTAACCTTCACAATAGCTGTAGATGGTTCCATGTTATGGCATGCTGTCTGGTCCAAGATTTTTCCAGAGGGGTCATGTGCCTGACAACAACACACATATCAAATAAATTTAAATTTAGCATCCAAGATCAAAAAATATATACTAACCCCGAGTCTCAAAGTACACGGATACATCATTAATCACTAACCGGTGTCTAATCAGCTGTACTGCCCGGTGACTTTCCATTGTCACTATCACCGGAATTGTTGGCACCGTGCGCTACTTCATCAGATCCATCAGATACCAAATCATGAGACTGGAGAAAAGAACAATATAATGGGGCTGAGCATAAATAATCCACTTAAGAAAGAGATTTAACTGATTAGATAAAAATAATACCTCTTGGCTGACAGTGTCACCAGCTAATCGATTTTCAGTGCTGCCATCAGCAGTCCCTTCAGTAGCAGCAGCAGTCCCTTCAGTGGCAGCAGCAGTCCCTTCAGCGGCAGCAGCAACAACTACCCCAACTGACACCGTGAACTGCATGTTAACATGAAGTAGAAAAACAATCAGATTGAGAAGAGATGAGAGAGGAACCCAAGCATTGGGCTTGACACCAAATCCTGGCCATCTTCTTCAAAGGGCCCCTGAGACCAGCACATAGATATGTAAAGAATAAAGTAGCATATATCATATTGAATATCAGATAAATATTTGTTTATTGCATATGGAAGTTTACTTCCTCAAATTAAGAAGACTTACTCGAACATGCTCAGCGAAAGGATCCCGAATATTAGATAATGATCGAGGCAAAACCTCCGTCCTACTCCCGGTGACCTACAAAGAAGATGAGTTTAATGTAAAGAAGCAATATAAAAAACAAAGAACTCTTAAAAATAGGTTCCAAACCTTAGTTGGGTTGGAAGTATAGCACAAAAGAATCTCCATAATGGAGTTGTCAACAATGTCAGGATCAAGAACGTTCTGAGCATCCACTGCGGGTTGTGAAGCATTAAGGCCATTCAGTGAAGAGGCAGGTGGAGGAGGCACAGTGGCTTGCTTCTCGGCAGCTCCATCTGTATCCAAACTTCTAGCAGATTCCGCCAATGTATTTGGATTTTTTAAAATCCAATCTGTAACACCTTTGATGATACAGTCCTCCATAGCACCAAGTTTTGAATCCAACAAGTGTGACAGGGTTGCAAGGTTGCATGTTCCAGTTAGGGCCAATGGCTTCTCCCGAAGAGGAATGTTGAATAGTACTGTGCGCAGGTTGGCTAGGTGGAGCAATCTGACCCTTCCACGCACGGATAATTTTAGCCTTAACACCCCTTTTCTGCTTCTTCGGGGCCAGCTCAAGCTGAGATGGTATACAACCACCGATAAACATATCGTTACTGAATAAAAAGCCCTTTGCCGCAAGAGAGACAACGTTATCAACTGCCGGGTCTTCCGAATCATCTTCCCAAGTTAAATCCTCCTCAGGCTCCAACTCTAGATCAGGGCATATTATCGGGTCGACAAGTAAATGCACATTAGATAAGTGGAAGTGATAAATACATTCTTATTGAATAACAATGTGGATATGAGATAATTTAAAGGTTAAATGATAAAATAAAGTAGACCAAACTAACCTCGCAATTGCCATCTAGACGTTTTACGTTGGCTATCTTCAAAGGTACAGAGGAACGGCGCCGACATCGGGCACCGGTACTCCATCGGAATCGCTACAATCGGGCTCCTCAGACGGGGATCCTTCTTGAATGGCCGGAGCTGCTTGGAGAATCACTAGCTGTAAAGTGTATAAGAGACCTTGCACAGTAACACAAGTTGTAGCCAATTGCTGAACATCTCTCTCTTTAATAGACTTCATCATCATCCCGAACGATAAACGGCACCAAGGATAAGAAAGCAAAAAATTAATATCCTCAGCTATTTCAACGTGCTCCTTCACGATTTTGGGATAGTGAGATGTGGGGACCAGGAACCCATCAACTAGAGCCAAATAAACATATATTCGCCGCATGTCTTTATCCTCCACAATTTTGTTCTTCAGTATAGTGATGACCCTGTCAACGGTTACATCCTCTTCCAACCCAAAAAGCATACAGTAAAAGGGGATTTTTTCCCGGCGGTGCCTTTCCACTTCCTCTTCTGCATATTTGGAAACCGGACGCAAGGCAAACCAGTAACAATCTTGAACTCTCGAATGGAGAATCGCACGGGGTTCCACCAAATATCACCCACAGTTCGTACGGTTTGCAAACCTCAAGCTGCCGGGAAAGGAGGAATAAACCAAAGGACGCGGACCACGCCGGCTTATTTGGGAACTCTAACAAACTCCCAAGCGACGTTTTACTTAACCAATCTCCCTCTTCTTCATCAAAAGCATCGAAAATCATGGAAAGGGTCTTCATTTTATTGTAGATATTTACCCTTTCCCCCAAAGGTTCTTCCCCAAAGGCAATGAGACGGTTGGGAAGATCTAATCCGCCATCTAACAATAGAAACAAATATAGAAAAAAATTAAAAACAGAATCCTCAATACATAGAACATTAAAACCGAATCTACTCGATTTGAAACACTAACCGACTTTACGAATTCCCGGTGGATAGGAAGAGAAAAGGGGGGATTCGACCAGTTTATGCTTGACAATTCTAAGAAAAGGGGGAAGATACACAACGGCGGTGAGTTGTTTCTCGGCAGAGAGGAAATGGGGAATAAGAAGCAAACCCAAGATTTCTAATGTGGAACCGAGGAGACGCGACTGTTGATAAGTCGATATGTATATACGCCGTTTGATACATAAATATCATCATCTCTATTTAATTTCTCGATAACGAAATCAAAAAGAAAGATATGATCTCTGCTCAGTTATAGAGTTAATAGAGTACTCTATTATGGTAGATATAGGGAGAAGATCGTCTAAAAATTATCAGTTAAATAAAAATTTATGGGGGGTAGATTTTTTTTTTTTAGGTACATCGATTGTAGTTTCCCCAAGTTGTATAGCATAAAAGCACAAAATATAAATATTATTCCACAGTGTACTGTTAGTTCAAAACTAGATCACATATAATAGAATGGGTTAAAGAGTCATTATTTTTTTATAAATTATTATATAATGTTGAAATAATAAAAATGTGATCTAAACCAAATATTAGTTTTAAATCTACATTTTATATTATTTCCTTACATTTTAACCACCATAATACTACATAAGAAATATATTATGAATTATGAAATTATATTAACTTTTAGAAAAAAAAAACTAAAAACCTTTTCATTTCCCAAAAAATCATTTGTAAGTATAACTAAAATTTCACATCCAACCCTTCCGGATAAAACGAAATCATCCCTACACCGATAAACCTTTGTACATATTAATTTTAATTTTAACATACTTACTTGAGATATAAAACTACAAATCAAACTTTATAATTTGTAAATTTTATTGATTATGATATCAAAAAGTAGTGCTAAAATAAAAATAAATACTATACAATATATAACTTATAATAAAAATATAATATACAATATAAAATAATAAAATTTATTCTGCAGGTTTAGACCTAATAGCTTTTATATTTCTAGTTAGCCGACATAACCATCAAACGGATTCGACCATCTTCTAAAGTAAGGAGCGTATGACGTCGACTAATTAGTGTAATATTATTATTTTGGTATTTAAAACTCTCCAAGTCAAACACGAACGGCTCGAAGTCGCATATAAAAGGTTCAAGAAGCCAAATGAAAATGGGCGACGAGAGAAGAAGCATTTACCAAAAGCAACAAATATGTTAAACGGTTCTTCCAAGAGTCTTTGCTTGTTAGGGTTTCCATTGATTCTTCTTCTGCTCATATTCCTAGTCTTTTCATTTTATCTTAACTATGGATCACCTCCACCTAAACAGTTCTTCTCTTCAGTTACTATGTCCTCTCTTCTTGACCATACTAATGTATTACAATCCTCACCTTCTTCTTCAATATACTCTCCTCCGATTTCGATAAAGGTAAGTATCTCAAGAATCATATGTATAACAATTCCTCTTTGACTACTATTAATGTTCTCTTATACTTAAACTTGCAAATCTATACGCTGTACAGTGAAAAGCATAAGAAAAAAAAGAAAAAAAAAAATCATAAGAAATATTCATATTATCATGATCCATGCATATGTTATATTATTCGAATGAAACATTGCTATATTTGTGCTCGATCGGTGTATATATATGTATATTTTAGTGATAAACGTACATAATCTTTTCTTTTGGTCAACAACTTACATGTACATGCATATTCTATATATAAAGTCGTAGTTTCGTAGTAGTAAAAATGAAGTAATAGTTATGATTATATAGTTTAATACTAATAGAATAACAAAATTAAATGATATGTCGGCAGAGAAGGAGCAATCTTGAGAGAAGAGAAGAAGAGTTGAGGAAAGCAAGGGCTGCAGTTAGAAGAGCCGTCAGGTTTAAGAATTACACATCAAACGAAGAAGTTACTTATATCCCCACAGGCCAGATCTACAGAAACTCCTTTGCCTTTCATCAGTTGAGTTTACTTGCCTATTTTTTCCAAATTTCTTATAGAGAAATACCCTTAAATAGCATCAAAATATGTTTTATGGACAATAACACATTGATAAAAGTCCAAAAATAACACTAATTAACACAGTTACAATATTTAAATAATTTCTAAGAATTTTTTAAAGATTTAGGTTGACTATATTATATTTAGAGTATAGTTTTTACGAGGTACGGTTTATTGTTTCGAATCTAAGGTTTAATTTTGAAATACAATAAAACTTCTATAAATTAATACTCGATAAATTAAAAATTTCTATAAATTAATAAATTTCCCAGGTCCCAAGTTGGGACCAGCGTAATTTTAGACATATTTTGATAAAATAATAAGATAATAATTTTTTTGAAAATCCTTCGTAGATATATGGTCTCATCAATATTATAAATTAATAATTAGGTAAAATTTTCAAAATATATGTATATATAGACACATTAGTTTTTGTTAGATTTTATTTATAATATTTTACTATATGAAAAATAGTTAGCATTATCTTTTAATACATAATAATTATTATTTTATTTTTAATTGGTTATATAAAATACTAATTATCATGATTAAATCTTATTTTTAAATATTGTCTTGACAATATTTTCCAAATTAGGAATATTTCTCTATAAATTAATAATTATTAATTTATCGATAAATTAATTAGATTTTGATGGTCCCAACATTATTAATTTATAGAGGTTTTACTGTATAGTGCTAATTTGGAAAATATGAGAGTGTATGCTAAGTTGGGAAGAAAAACTTAAATTAGTGCTACTTTTAAGAATTTTCCTTTTTTATATTACACGCTTTATAGTTTATACCAATTTTATAAAGATAATTCTCAAAAATACCACACTTTTAAGCTTTGCTCTATAAGAATTCCTAACACATTCCAAAAATATCACTAAAATTATGGTTTTCTAAAATATCACAAAACTAAAATTTAATTTTCAACTTTCAACTTTCAAAACTAAATATTAAACCCTAAAACTAAACCTTAGACCACCTCCAATAATAATATTTCATGTTATTTCAAAGAGTAATTCTGAAAAGAGCATATTTCATGTTATTTCCAAAGAGTAATTCTGAAAAGAGCATATTTCATGTTATTTCCAAAGATGTAATCATATTAGGAGTAATTCTGAAAAGAGAATATTTCATGTTATTTCCAAAGATGTAATTAAAATTCTATAAGTTTCACCCATAATAACACGAATTAAATTAAGGTTTATGAAGTTATATAATCGTAGAAAGGAATCTCATAGCTGACTTCTTAACTCTTACCAAACTATATACAGAACCTTAATAACCTATTTTTGGGTATTTTATAACTTTTGGAAAATACATTAATATTTTGAGTATTTTAAGATATTCACTAGAATTGTAATTGGTTTCCTATACGATATCTCCTCTTCGAAGAAAATATCGGATATGTAATAGTGAGCTTTCTAAATTTATCTCTATATATTTCTGAATCTAATTTCCTATATATGTTTTTATTTTGGATTTTATTTTGTGGGCAACATTTAATTTCTATATTTTAGATCCAATATCAATATGCATGAACCAAAATTAAGATGTCGTAAGAGATTGCCTAACTTAAGGGCATTTGACCAAACTCTCCACTGCCTTCCAAACCATGAGTGCATGTCAGCCTCATGCGGTGTTGCGGAGTTCTCACGGACTAATTTAATTACTACCAATATGCCAAATTTTTAATTGGACTTTCAACTCTTCTCATTTTTTTTTTTTTTTTTTGTAAATTAATTTAGAAGTCAATTTGCTTAATTTTTTATAGATCACACATAACGATATATAGTTTCTCAAGTTTAATTCATTTGTTCTCAGTCAACTAAGATCGATTGACATTTTGATTGACATGATAACCGGTACTTATACTTTACTTTTTGGGTCAATTAATTAGTAAATTAAAGATGTGATTTTCTAAAATACTTTAAAGAAGTACTAGCTTTTATACTATCCCATATTTAATTAATAAATATGTCTATAAAACTTAGGATATCTATCTTCTATCGCAAGAAAAAAAGATCTTTGGTAGAATTATTATTTCCTTTTTAGTTTATTGTTTAAATATTAATACTAAGTTAGTAACTCTAAAAAAAATAATTAAAATATGAACAAAATTTTAAAATAAAATAAAACAAGCTTTGGTAGACTTATTTTTTGCTTGTGTCTATTATTGTTTAAATATTAATACTAAGCTACTAACTCTAAGAAGATAATTAAAATGTTGAACAAAATAAAATTAAATAAAACAGGAGTCACATAGAAATGATGAAAAGATTCAAGGTGTGGTCGTACAAAGAAGGAGAGCAGCCACTAGTTCACGATGGACCGGTGAACGATATCTACGGAATTGAGGGACAGTTCATTGACGAGCTCGGCAACATGATAGGCGGACCAAGCAGTCGGTTTAGGGCTGTCCGGCCAGAGGAAGCTCATGTCTTCTTCTTGCCTTTCTCGGTTGCTAACATCGTCCACTACGTCTACAAACCCATTGCCTCACCTGCCGATTTCAACCGAGCCCGCCTCCACCGGATCTTTAACGACTATGTAGATGTCGTGGCTCGCAAGTACCCTTTTTGGAATCAAAGCAATGGCGCTGACCATTTCATGGTCTCTTGTCACGATTGGGTAATGTACACGCAACTTCGATAGACTATTTAAAGATATCATATGGTTTTGAAATGCATGTATCTTGATTTATTTTATGCATAACGTGATTTAACTAGGCTCCCGATGTGCCGGATAGTAAACCAGAGTTTTTCAAGGATTTCATGAGAGGACTATGCAACGCCAACACATCGGAAGGTTTTAAGCCAAGCATTGATTTCTCGATACCTGAGATTAACATTCCTAAAGGGAAGCTAAAGCCACCGTTCATGGGCCAAAACCCTGAGAATAGGACGATCTTGGCTTTCTTCGCAGGACGAGCTCATGGATACATTAGGGAAGTCTTGTTTACTCACTGGAAGGGTAAGGATAAAGACGTTCAAGTGTATGACCACCTCACAAAGGGACAAAACTATCATGAATTGACTGGTCATAGCAAGTTTTGTCTTTGTCCTAGTGGCTACGAGGTTGCTAGTCCTAGAGAGGTCGAAGCCATCTATTCAGGGTGCGTCCCGGTTGTGATATCCGACAACTACTCGCTTCCCTTCAGTGACGTGCTTGATTGGAGCAAGTTCTCAGTTGAGATCCCGGTCGATAGAATCCCAGACATTAAGAATATTTTGCAAGAGATTCCACATGACAAGTATATAAGGATGTATCAAAATGTTCTGAAAGTAAGAAAGCATTTTGTGGTGAACCGTCCAGCTCAACCGTTTGATGTGATCCACATGATACTTCACTCCGTTTGGTTAAGGAGGCTCAACATTAAATTGCCGTCTTGATACTAAATATAATGCTTTTAGCTACAACAAAAAATAGTTGTCGCATAAGAATACCTTTTGTTTTTAGATTTCTTTTACCAGTTCATTTAGAAAAATCTCCTTTTGATGTGTAGACTTTTAAGTACTCATATACGTTGTAAACAAATGTTAGAATGAAAATTTCAGTTTTGGAATAAAAAAGATAGGTCCATTGAGGCAATTGGATCGGTAGAGGATCCCTACATAGACTTCATCTAAGAAGGAGTATCTCACAATGTGCAGTAGATATTTAAAATGAGAAATTCCTAATTGCAAATCACACGATGGGTTTAAGACTAACCACAAAAGACGACATATAAACTTCTAGAAAACAACAACATTTAGAGATAACGAAGCAAAAGTCTCACCTATGCTTCAGTTTTGATGGCACTTGACATTTGAGCTGCTGCAGAAGAAGCATCTTTCTCAAGAAGCCACTCCTTTGCGCAAATCAGAGCCTCCACTGTCTCGGGCCTCAGTGACGTCTTGTACTCATCCATCTCCCTTGGTTCCATGTCAAACACATAGTCAAAGGCTGCAGCTGAAACTGGGATCGAGAGGATGTCTCTAGCCATCTTCGACAATGTCGGGTACTTGAGCTTGTTCTGTTTCCACCAGTCAAGAACATCAAACTCCTGGACACGGGGAAGCAGCGTTTCATCAAGGTACTGGTCCAGCTCTGATTTCAGATTCTGCCCTGTTGTCTCCATTATGTACGTATCAAAATCTGACAGTCCATCCGCTTCAGATGTCGGTTTTAGCGGTGCAGGGAGTGCCATGTATTCGCTGAAGAGCTCGTGGATCCCATCATCTACAGTCTTGATATTCTTCGTAGCGTCTTCTCCGAATATCTTGGAGAAACTGAACTCGACAAGCTTCATCTTGAACCGAGGATCCATCACCACTGCCATTGCCAAAACCAAGCTACAGTCTCTCCAGTACTTGTCAACCTTCTCTTTCATGGTTTTAGCAATACCTGCGACGTAAGGATCCTCTCCAGCTATCGCCCGAGACAGATCTGACTGTGTCTTCCACACTTCATGGAAGATGGTAACAGCAGATGGGTTTTCAGTAGATTGAAGAGTGGAGGCTGCTTCAAAAAGAGGTTTCAGGAATGTGCAAAGTGCCTCCACATTCTTCCAATCTTCTGCTGAATGATGTTGCTTGTAGTCAGGATCAGCAGTGTCTAAGCATGAGAACACTTCCTTTACTTCTGAAGCAGCCACAAGCATCTTATATGTTGTGTTCCATTGCGTCTGATCATCAAGAGAAAGTACCTTCTCGCTTGGAACTTGAAGCTGTTCCTTGAGCTCAACAAATCTCTCCTCATGGGACTCTGAGGTTTTCACATGCTTCACACTGTCCCGGATGTTCTTGATCACATCTTTTCCTTTCTCCAGTACATCTTTAGCAAGGCTACTAAATGTTCGGGCAACGCAGTTCCCTATTACTAACTGACCATCCAGAATCCCAGGGTTCTTGATGCAGAGTAGAGGTTTTATGTTTTCAACAGCGGTGTTACTTGCCGGATGGTTGAAGGTGACGGAGAACAACTTTCCTTCCAGACCCCATTCAGAAACACAATTTGCAACCGCAAGACTCAAAGCTTCGTCAGCTTCTGGATACGATTCCATCAAAACATTGAGAAGCTTCTTTTGTATCTTCCAATCACTGTCAATGAAGTGAGCAGTTATAAACACATACCCAAGAGTTAGCTTAGAAGTCCAGAAGTCCAACGTCAGACAGAAGCGTCCGGGAATCCCTTCTAAAGACTTCATGACATTCTGCTTTTCTGCAAGGTAAGTCGCCACACAGTCTCCTTGAACATTGTTGAAGCTCATAGCATCAAAGTGAGGCTGAATACTCTTCACGAACGAGACAAACCCTGGATGCTCAACCATGTGAAGAGGGTAGTCATGCAGTATGATCATCTTAGCTATCTCCTGATGACACTTGTCCTGATTAAATGCAACATAGGGACTAGCGTTCTGGCTTCGGTAACGCCTTCTCGGGGTGTCAGTCTTGGGAGTGTAAGGAGTACCCATCAGTTGGTTGTTATCATTGTTTTGTGTATGGGCAAGTGCAGGACAAGTCCCTTTGGCAATGTGGCGTTTAAGATGGCTAGTACCAGCCACTTTGTTACCGTTGCTGTAAGCAAAGCTCTGGTTACATCCTTTGCAGAAAGCCCTTCTGCAATTGGGTTCAACAGACTCGATTGTGAAATGTTCCCACACCATTGACTTCTTCTTGCGTCGCTTGATGGGTTGAGTTTCTGGTGACCTCGTCTCAGTATCATTGTACACCTCCACCTCAAGAGGTGGTGACCTCATTTCAGTATCATTGTACACCTCCAGAGCTGTTTCCATCTTCTTGCTGCATACAGAGACAAAAGAAGACAGAAAACACGTATATTATTATTAACAAATCCCAAAACACACCGTTGGTTGAGATATGTAATAATAATGATTATAAAACGTCCAAAAATAATTGATGGGACTAAAAAATCTAACAACTAGCACATGGACTAAACTACGAAATATTTGTTTAGTCATTGGGCCTATTCCAAAAGCCCATGACCCACGGTAAATAATAAGATTGTTATAGGGGCAAAACAGGTATTTCAAGCTATTGTGTAGATCCAACAACTTAACCAAAACCAATGAAAAAAACAGATCTGGAGTTTTTAAAGGTCCTAAGAGTAGATCAAACATGGGCTGCAAAAACAAAAAAAAAAAACTAGAAGAGCCCAGATAACAAAGTTCAACACAACGAACCTGATTCATTCACCAGAGTTTTAAGTAACACAGAGTTAGTTGTATAAAACAAAGGATCGGGCTTTTTCTTTATACCTCACACACAAACACAACAAAACAATTCAAGCTATTCAAAATTGCTTTGCCTCCATGAGTCAAAAAAACCAAATGTTTTGAACTTCGCTCCTAAAACGACCTAAGAACTTTTATTTGTTTCTACCCAGTAAAATTGGCGTACGAGTTGAATTATATCGGAATCAGCAGATCTCAAGCTGACAATTTACACAGAGTAGATCCAAGCTAACAAATTTCACAAAGCAGGAACCAAAGGAGCAAAACTGGAAAAAAAAAAAAATCCCAAAACAGATCCAAGAAAAAAGGCGAAATTAAATCGAGAGATTGGGTTAGAGAACCAATACCTGCGAGAGAGGGGGGAAGTTGAAGCTCTGCGTCGTGAGAGTAGAAGAAGAGGGAGGAGAATCTCCGGTATGGTACGGTGGTGACGGAAGAATCGAGTCGATCTCCGGCGAGGAGAGAGAGAAGAGAGAGGGAAGAGAAAGAGAGAGAGAGATTTGGGCTTGAGAGGCTAATTGGACCTTTGGATGAAAAGAAAAAGGAGAAGACGAAAGAGATAAGTTTGTTATTATCTTTATCGAATAAGGATGCGTCTAAATAAGGGTTTAGGTTGAAAGATAATTTAGAAAATATTTGGGCCTTTTAATGGGCTTTCAAAAGCAGCTCAGTTTATCATGTATGGAAAAAGTAGATAGATAATGATGGCGCACGAATAATCGTGGTCGTCTTGACACGTGTCCAATTAACGAGGAAATTACTAAACCGTTCCGGTTAATTAAAATTTAACATTGACGAAGGAAGAACTTTTGGATATAGATCTATACCGGTAGGTTCCTAAACCGATTTTGATTAAGAGAAGAACACAAATACTAAGCAGAGTGATCTCCGGCACCGGGTCGTCATCGTCATCAATGTCAAACATCGTGGTTCTAGACAACGGCGGCGGTCTAATCAAAGCTGGACAAGGCGGTGAGCGTGATCCCACCACCGTAATCCCAAACTGTCTCTACAAACCTCTCTCTTCCAAGAAATTCCTCCACCCATCACCACTCACTACTCTCTCCGACGAAATCGACCTCACCTCCGCCGCCGTCCGCCGCCCAATCGACCGTGGGTACCTCATAAACTCCGACCTACAACGTGACATCTGGTCACACCTCTTCACTTCTCTCCTCCACATAACTCCTTCCTCCTCCTCTCTACTCCTCACTGAGCCACCACTCTCAATCCCTTCCGTTCAACGAACCACCGACGAGCTTGTCTTCGAAGACTTCGGATTCTCGTCTCTCTATGTAGCCCATCCTCAGTCTCTTGTTCATCTCTATGAAGCTAGTCGTCGGCCTGATTCAGTCCTCTCAAAGACTCAGTGTAGTCTCGTGGTTGATTGTGGCTTCTCCTTCACTCACGCTGTTCCTGTTCTTCACAATTTCACTCTTAATCACGCCATTAAGAGGATTGATTTAGGAGGCAAAGCATTCACTAATTACTTGAAGGAATTGGTGTCTTATAGATCTATAAATGTTATGGATGAAACTTTTTTAATTGATGATGCTAAGGAGAAGCTTTGTTTTGTCTCACTTGACCTTCTTCGTGATCTCCGCCTTGCTAGAAGTGGAAACAATCTTATCAAGTCAACATATGTTCTTCCTGATGGTGTTACACATACTAAAGGTTATGTTAAAGACCCTCAAGCTTCTAAGAGGTTTCTTAGCTTGTCAAACAAAGATCATGTGGAGTCTGATTCGATGGATAAGGTTGGAGAGAGGAAGAAGGCGGACGTTAACAAAAACGTAAAAAAAACTTTGATTCTATCTGAGTTTATTTCTCTATGGTGGTAGATATTTCTCTGAAGTGTGAGTTTTTTCGTTTCTTTTTTTGCAGGAGATTGACTTAACGAATGAGCGCTTTCTTGTACCAGAGACGTTATTCCAGCCTGCGGATTTAGGTTTGTGTCTGATGAAAGAGACTGCTAAAGTGTTGTTGTATATAGAAGATGATGATGGTAACTATTTTTATTTGTTTTGGGGCAGGGATGAATCAGGCGGGACTTGCAGAGTGCATTGTCCGAGCTATAAGCTCATGCCATTCATATTTGCAACCAGTTTTGTATCAAAGGTGGTTCAGAATGGATACATTTTTGGCTTCAGTTGCCAGTGAATTAGGTTTGTTGTCTAAAGGTTTGATGGTCTTTGTTGCAGCATCATCTTAACTGGTGGAAGCACATTATTTCCACAACTTAAGGATAGACTGTAAGTCTTCATTAAAGTCCCTTGCACAATTGGTATATGCTTGTTAGAGAAGTTGATGTCTGATGTATTGCAGAGAAGGAGAGCTTCGACCACTAGTCCCAGACCACTTTGATGTGAAGATAACAACACAGGAGGAGTAAAGAAACTCAATCCTTTCCTTCTTTTCTCTTATGTTTGCAGTTTTTCTCTCTCTCTAACGCTGTTACTTCTTGCAGCCCCATACTAGGTGTATGGAGAGGGGGTTCACTTTTGGCTTCCAGCCCGGATTTTGAGTCCATGTGTGTCACCAAGACTGAGTACGAAGAACTTGGATCAGCTCGTTGCCGCAGAAGATTCTTTCATTGATGATAACCAAAGAAATATCAAATGAGTTGGTTGTAATTCTTCACATTCTAGCTCGTATATTTGTAATGCATGTCCATTAGATTTACAAAACACCAAGTGTATTATGTTTTTCTTTTCTTTATATCTTAGATTTTGATTAGGCCAATAGAGTTTATGTGAGGCAGAGAAAGACGTGTAGTTGTCGCTGAAGTGGCACGTGAGAAGGAACGTTAAATGAAAAGATTGAAGAAACAAAGAGAAGAGGAGGATTCTTACATTGAATCGATTCTGTACAAACTCTTTTATAATTTTAGTATAGATATGTTGCTCATTGTTTAAAGAGTATTATGCTGTTGAATGTACAAGTCTCGCATGTGAGAAATCGCATACGAAGTTCACTATTCACATCGATTCAACGAACACTTGACCAAATTTTGCCTTGCCTTCACCCGCGGAATCAACTTGTGACTCACTAGGTTTGAATGACCTGGAACAGTCTTTTTGCACACCATTTTTCGTCACGAGGACCTGGTTTACGTGATAGATTTGTTACAAAATGTTGAGATGCCAGTGTTTGATGGTAAAAACATTCACAGATTAATTTCTGTGGTGGAACGTTACTTCGTGTTGGAAAATTTTATGAACAAGTGGATTTTTCTGTATTTCGTTAATGCGGTTGTTTGGTATACTTGCGAGATCAAAAGTTTGCCATTTCAAAGTTGTTCCGAAATTCAAAAAATTCCAAGCCGTTTAAGTTATAACTTATAACCACCTGAGAAAACGATCTAGTCTTAAAATCAACTTTACACAGAACAAGGGTTAGGATACAACATACAAAAACTTTCACTTAATCCGAGATACAGTAATATTTAAATGCCAAAACTTGTTTGTTGTTGTTCTTCAAATATGATTTCATGTTCGTATGTTTGCAAAGCCAAAGAGTTTGGTTGTGTAAGTTCTCATCAGTCGGTGTAGGGTTGAGAGTCCATGCACAAATGCACTAGCTTTCTCTGGTACTGTTGAAAGTATTCACAAACAGCTGTCACTTCTTCCTTTCCTGGTTCAAGACCAGGCAGATCAGGATGTGTGCCTTCACCAGAAGCAGATTCAGATTCATCATCCTGGCTTGATAGCTCGGTTACGATTTCTGAATGAATCTCCTGACAGGCGAGCACAAACATGGCTACTGTGTCCGGCTGTTGCACTTCTCTGAGAGCTGCAAGCGCCTCTTGCAGGGAACCAGCAGCCACATATAAAATAAGCGCCCTGCATCAATACATTGTAATTCTTTTCTCATTATGTGATTTGTTTAGAGGATTCTTTGTCACTTCTAAGTTATCAAATTTAGATAGTATTGAAGGTGACTATGATACAGTACCGCCAGACATTGTGCTCTGCATGCAGTACATGATCAGCCCACCTCTGCAATACCCTGATTATAAAGAGGGAGTAGTTTAAGCAAGGGTGTGAGATAAACTGATTCACAGAAATATAAATCAGATCCAAGAGTGAAAGAGTAAAAGAAAAGACCTGGCATAATCTGATCCTTCTAAATGTGTGGCAGCCAAGGTAGCAGCATCAGTCCACCGTCCAGAATCTTGTAGCTGAATATTGAAAAAGGGTCTAAAATATTTAGTGTCTAATACGTTGTGTATGAACCAAAGCAAAAACATTTCCTAGTGATTAATCCTAATCGAAGCATTAGTTGGGAAGAATATGCAAATATCTAGTATTACGAAGGAGAAAAGGAAGCTAGCCTGTGAACAAGCTTCTTGGTGTCTTCCGACTGCACATAGAAGATGGGTACCAGTGAGCGAATTGTCGGTCCTTACCATGTTGGCTGCGACAACCTACGTGTGTAACAAAAGTGAATTTTAAAAAAAAAAACACAAAAGACTATCAAATATACGAAGACAAGATACCTTTAGTGCGAGGTCGAGAAGAGATTTAGACACAGCTGAAGAGAGTGCAACAGCTCGAAGAGCATTTGGGTAGAAGTATGGAGAATCTGGGGCTGAAGAAAGCAGCAAACTGACAGCAGCTTCCAAATTTCCAACTGATATTAGCCTGGTCACAGAAGTTACTGAGTGAATTCACTTCTCACCGAAAACCAAAAGTATGGAATTGGAAACTAAGATTCGAAAACTGAAATTCTATAATGTACTGATACAAGACTAAAATAATTATTTTTCTCTCATCTTAAGAGGCTTCTAAAATATATATAGTTTCCATTTTACACAGGAGCTTTTAGGTAATAAATTGAAACACTCAAAAATAAAGACAAGTTGAAGGTGAAATACTAACTCATGTACTTGTTTCTGAATGCAATCTTCCCCCTCCAATTTTTCATGCCAAGGAAGACGTTCATTAGCACGTTTCCGTAATTCTTCTCGCTCAAAAGCCATCAATCTAAGTGGGCCATCAGACTATTCAAGAAAATGTGGAATATAAGCACACCAACAAACACTATATACATGGAAATTTATCATACAAACTTCCAGCAAACAAGAAAGCTCCACCAAGCTAGCAAAAAATTACATGCAAAGAAACTCCATTTCCAAAATAAACAATATTGTCTATATGTATCCTGGTAGAAGGGAATGGGTAGAATGGATGATCTTTTAAAAGAAAAGAAGCATTATTATTTTGAAACTGACCATGGAATCTAACTTCCTGGCTTCAGGAGCTGATATACCAGTAGATGACATCTTACTCAGCATAGCAGCTTCATCAACTCCTGAGTCTAAAGCAGGGGAAATAATTTTCTGTGGAGACCTTTTCGTCAGCTTGTTCATCAGATGGCGAATGGCTTGAGGCAGTTGCAACCAGAAAAGTGCTTCTGAGGTTTCACCAAAAACAGCAGCTGCAAAAGCAAATCTTGCAGCATAACCTTTCTTGACTACATCAGCGTATAGTTTTGCTCTTTCATCGTCCAGCAAGCAACCTAGGATGAAAGGACTTAGAGAAGGTTAGAATTTAGAACACTTAAACAGATATCTTGCCACCAAGTGGTTAGTCTGTGGTGATACTATACAAGACAAAGGAAAATAACCTTCTTTACGATACGGTTCTAGTATCTTCAGCAGCATTTCTGGCACAACAGGGTCTCCTAAAGGTGGTAACTGAATCATGTAACTCCGAAGATCCTTAGAGGATGAAGCCATTCCACGGATCAAATGAGGTCTCTTCTCTAAAGTGGTACTAGATGTATTAAACCAAGATGGTTTCACTCCTAACTGTAAAATCATCCGCAGTGCCTGCATGTGTAATAATCAGACACATTGTCAAGAGTAACCAACATGTAAATCCTGTATTAGGAGATATTATATGAGCACAAAGATAACGCAAAACATTAGTATCTTCTGAATTACATGATATCAGAAGTAAATCAAGATTGAGTACGACAAAGACTTCAGGAAGTAAACTAAGAAGGCAAGAAGTTACTCCTAAATAAAGAAAGTTACCAGTGCATGTGGTACAGGAAGTAGGATAGGGGAATACATAGGCATAGGACGAAACCTCTCCTTCACAGATTTAGACTGGGGCACAAAGCCAGCTTTCTTTTCATTTCTGCAAAATCCAGAAGAAAAAGTTGGAAATAAAAGATAGCACAGTAAGTGATTGTAGCCAATTAACTTGGATCAATAATAATGGCACCTCAGAAACTATATAAAAAAATATATTTATATGCCCTAACCCTGACATCCCTAAGTCCTAACCTAGGGGCAAGGGTTGCCTAGTTGTCAACCCCACTACACCATTCCACCCTACCTGCACCACCTTGTGACAGGGTTATTCCTTTCTCCAAGGATTTAGGGTGCACAGTCAACTGGTAAAAAAAATAATAACAATAAAAGAAAAACTAGACATGCCTATTCTAGTCAGTTATGGTTTTATAGGGAGAAATTAATCGTAAATTTTCATCGAACTGGTGTACACATACACAGTAACTTCAACGAGCCGGAAGGTGCTATCGGCCCCAGCAATGCATAGAACAAGTGGATCATACTTATCAGTTCTCAGAGGCAACCAATCAAGTTCCAGTACCAGGGTGCCAGGAATCTGAGGCTGGAGAAGTGACTGGGCTAGCGGATCCGGTGAATCCTGCAGCAATTTTCAACAGCAACTGTCAGAAAGAGATATATTGAGATGACAGATATCAAACAAATAAAACCAGTCTTGTTCTTGTTTTTTCCACATTGCATAATGTCAGTACACCACCTTCGAAAACACAAGACACAAGCATAAAAATGAAGGGAAATACTTAATTCTTTTAATACTCACAAGATCAAATACAGAGAATGTATTGTCATTAAATAGCACAGCTACACGCCCTCGGCTGCGATCTCCAGCAACAACAGGTGAAAATTTGATCCTCCGTATTCCATCTCTGTGACTATTAAATGCAGATGACTGTCCAGTTGTTACATCCCACCATCTTATGTTTCCTGATCTATCTCCCATAACCTGGAAAGAGATAGCAATGTATGATGTTCCTTAGGAAATTAAGAGAGAGAATTGTAAGGTGAAAAGAAACAAACCACATGAGGCAAGCGATATGCCATGGCCGTAACCAATCCATCTGAGGGAACGAATGAAGTAGATGGCCATTTAGGTCTAGAAATAGAGGCGGGATCATCTATACGTCAGTGAATATAGGGAGAAGATTACACAACAATCAAAGTTCAAGAAGGTGATTGCTAATTCATGTAAAAGCGGCTCATAATAACTATCAAACAGTGAATTTTCTGCACTTTCTGAGATTGGACAACAAAGATCTACTCATTATCTCACAAAAATTGTTAGAAAGAAATTTATGACGGATGATATTAGAAACAAATCATAGAACAAGAAAGGAATACGGCGGAAAGGAACACTATAGTAGGTAAGCAATAACATGCAATCACTATTTCATACTATCTTCTCAGTAACAGAGAGATATTTAGAAACCCTTAAACTATGATCTGCTTAGTGATAAGGAATTCAAACACAACTATAAGGGATTACTACGGAAAGAAGAATATCCGAACAACAGTTGAGTTAATGGAACCATCAGTTTTACCTGAAATCTCGAATTCTACGTCCTTGGACTTCAAATACTCCAAGGGCACCATTTACTAGTGCAAATGCAAAACTCTCTACAGTTTCTTCAGGCGATCCGTCTGAGCCCATAGACACTGCAAATAAGTCAATTACCAACCCTTAGAAGAAAGCATCAAAGACGGTTATATTCAGGATACACAGTTTTAATGGTCAAAACATCTCACTAGAGTCTGTTGGAGCAGTTACTCCTTCGGAAACTGAGAGCAATGGTTTGGAAAGACCGCCTTGACCTGGGCGTGGAACTGCTGGAAGCGTCCATTCCACTACCGTGAAAGGAAGAGCTAGTGATCTAAGCTACAGAATTAGAAGGAATAAGAAACATTATATCACTGATTAGAGTACATTACCTCAAGACATTGACATGGCACTAAAGACTTTCCATCACTTCAGAAAGAGGGGAGACAAGATAAGAAGCCACAGAGAGTATGTTGCTTCAATGACTCTCCTAAAACTGCATTTCCCTTTTTATGCATAATCGATCTTACCAAGCATTTATGATGTTTAAGACCTATCATGAGCTAGTCTATTATGTGGTGCCAAATTATCCCTCCTTACTCAAGGTTTCACATGCATAAAGTTTAAGGTGGTCAAGTTAATATTTGTTTAAAGTAGATGGACACAAGAAGAAAGTATCATAGGGCTGAGAAATTCAGATAGGTAGAACGGAACATTTAAAGAAAACTATTCCTATTAACGATAAATTACAGAATGTATAAGTGCAAATTGTAAGTTTGTAAACATATGAGACAGAAAGAGTTACCATTATCTATACAAGGAGACTAAATGAAGTAGAAAAAGCAAAGATACATTGAGGTTTGAACTTACTCACCATGACTGGATGCTTGGTCATTGCCCATACTTCTACAGGAGCATCACGGAAAAGGATTAGAAGATACCTGCAACAGGACAATTCTTTTGTCAGCTGCAGAAGTGGTATCTAGAAGGTCTAGACCCAACCCACTTTTACAATAGTTCCTCAGCCTTCAAACAATGAACCAGTTTCGTATATGATCGAACTTGACATTTGCTCTGATAATGGAACAGAATTTCAAGACCCAGAGACGTTGTTCTTGAGCTTAACTTATTAATGACAAGTTAATAGCTTGAAGTGCACAAGCATATCGTTACATTCTCAATATGCATAAAATAATTGAGCTAAACAAATTACATTAAAAGCAAACCTTCCGGAAGAAGAAGTTCTAAGAGCTCTTATGGGAGTACGCTCTGGCTTTTGTAAATCACGAAATGGTTTATTCAACCCACTCCTAAGGCAGGTCACAACTAGCTTATTTATGTAGCCTCTGCTTTTGTCATTCACCTGAAACCACAAACCGATGCGTGATGCCAGATGTCAATTTCCCAATTCTATTAAATTTTATAATAAGTAAGTGGAAATTAATATAAACCTAATACTCTGTTCTTAATCCTGGAAATAAACAAATCCTAACTGGAAATCCCCCGGATAAAAGAGATGAAAGCAATAAAACGCAACATGCTCCTTTTATAATATATTTGCACACCTGACTGTAAGAAAATGAAACTAATCTTGAATTTCCAAGCCAACGAAGGCCCCTAACCACACCAGTATGAACCGAAGTGCTTGCAGCAACAGCATTTGTCGATACATCAACAATATCGATTGTCCCGCTCTGAGTTCCCAAAGCAACCAAAGGAACAGCTGCTGCAGGAATATTACCCCCTCCTTCGTTTGAAATCAGTCAATAAGTCAATCACTTGAGTTTTCTTAGGAACATTTTTAGTATTACATTACAAGGGAGACAAAAACTAACTTGCTAGAGTTGCCGTAAGAGACGGAGATGGCACAGCAAGTGTAGAGACTGTGGATGACAGAAGCTGAAGCTGTCCAGTCAGGCTGATCTGCATTGAGCGATGTAAACAAGTAAAGTCCTTGTTAAGTAGGAAAAAAAATGATAAGACCACTTTAACACGTATTGTGGAAACACACAACCCTATATGAGGAAGCTGGTAACACCAAACTTCAATCCTCTGGAGGAACAGTTATATAGTGATTAAGTAACTAGTTAAACCCATAAATCTCCCAGCCACCTACCTTAAAAGATAGGTCTGATTTTCCCAATGAGTAACTTGATGTGTGACCTCTGCTTTTATTTGTAGGTGCAACAACTAATCCGTCATCCAGATTAAAGGAATCGTTTTTCTGAATAGCTACAGGAAGTGCTACATCCGTGCCTCTGTTACCTATGTCCAAGTCTGATGCATTTTTCAGGGCATCTTCAACACCTTCAGCACTTAAGACCCACTTCCATATTTTACCGTCATCAGTTAGGGAGATAAAAGTCGTCTTAGAAAGGAGACTTTCGTCGTAAAAGTCAAATGGGTTATCAAAATCCAAAGAAAAAGTTCCATCTGGGTGAAGTTTTGTAATGGTTTGCATTGTGGAGTCCGACTGACTAAGAAGAACAGCCAGAGCTGAAGGGGTTGGAATGGACATTCCAATAGGTGGCATTAACTCTTCCATGGTACACATGACATGCACCTGTTCTCCTCTGCAATGATATGTAATCAGGAGTAGTTTAGATGAGCAACCAGAACAGGAGTGTCCAAGTCTAATTAACATTACAAGATACAAAGACATATTTATATGATGCCTTAAAACCATAATTCTCAGACACTATAAAGAGAAACTAGAAACCAGATACTTCAAATATAACCATCCAAATAGAGATGCAGAACATGTTTTGGGCATCAGATAAGAACTTAAGATTTGGAAGCTATTATAAAATGAATTGATCCCTAATGTGATTTCAACAGGTTGAGTTTCTCAAAGATTAGCATGGGCAATCAAAAAGGAGCTAATCTAACTTAGAAAGCTTTCTATTTCAGTAAGTTCTTTGAAACATTCGTCAAGTTTTAAGAAAGTAAAATAATAAAAGAAACTATCGAAGCATACATAACTCAAGGCTGTTAACATTGTACCATTGCCCTAAAATATGAAACCTAAAACATTCTTCCCTTTCCCAGTGATCCTTCAGAGAGGAGAGCGTAAAATTTTTAAGCCTTTCCTAAAATCAGTTGAGATTCTTAACAAAATAAAACTTCTAACATGTTAAGGGTGATTTTTGCTTTAGCCAGCTGCTGGTTCAATCTGATTCAAGGAATAGCTAATCCATGAATGAAAGTGACCGAAAACACATGAAATATCAATGGCTAAAATGAAGCCATCCATAAGGGACAGAAATAACTTACTCTTTCCGACGCCAAATGCTGAGCCTACCATCGACATGAGCACAATAAAGCAACTCCTTGTTTGGATCTGGCAAAACATCGAGAAACTTGGCGCAACCACGAGGTAATGGCATGGTCGAGAGGGGCGTCTCATATTGCAGATCAAAGACCAATAGCTCCCTAGGAAACGTCACAAACAGTATATTCTTCCAGTGTGGCGAGAATGCAAATCTAGCAAAGTATAACGGAAATGCGGCTGAAGCAGGCGAAGAAGACGGAGAAGATGATGAATTGCCATTAATAGCAGCCTCTCTTTCCAACCTCAATAGCTCACTGAAATCCGTCTTTATCTGCATCTCATGAATCACTACGTCATTTTCAGTGTCTCCGAGTACCTTAACCGACAGTAGGAATCCTTTAAGGCCAAGCACACAGAAATGGCGAGAATCATAGGGATCGCGGCGGAGACATGAGAGAATCTCCGTACCGGCATCGTACTTCCAGAAAAGTACACCGGAGGTTGTGTAGAGTGAGAGAAAAGAAGATCCAGAAATCACGGCGAGGACATGAGAATCCTGTCGAGCTTGAACCCAGCAGAGGTCCTGAATCCCAAGCTTGGGATCAGAGGAAGGGTTAAGCCAGACGACGACGGAACGAAGATGGAAGTCAACGAGCGCGACACGGCCGTGACGATCGGCAACGGCGAGGAGAAGGTGAGAGGCGGATGGCTCCGTGGAGAGTAAATCGCGGGGGAGAGGGAGAGGGATCCAACGGACGGAAGTAACGAAGGGAGAGAGAGCACCAGGAGGAGGAGGGAGAGGGATAGTGGAAACGAGCTGGAGAGAACGAGAGTCGATAACAGATACGGAGGAGCCAGAGGCGAAGGCGAAGAGACCAGATGGACTTAGATCGGCGGATCCGAAGTTGTTACGGCTGGGAGGACCAGGGAGAGTAGAATCCCAGGTCTCGGTTGGTGACGGCTTCGATGCCGCCATTGTTGCAGCTTCCTTCTACTCAGTCTCAATTTCTTTGTCTAATTTGATTATCAACAAGAAGAAAAACGAGCAATTTTACATACAATAGTAATTTATAGAAAAGAAAAGCTACGACTGTTTTTCTTATTTTTCGACCAAACTTCTCAAACCTTTTTTTTTTTTTTTTTTTTACTAACACTTCTCAATTTTGGCCATTTTCGGAACCAAATTTTGACAAATTTTTCTAGAAATTTTTAAACGTTCTTAATACATCTTAAAATTTTTAACGCTTAAAATCAACGCGTGTTCTTAATATGTTCTAGATTCGGATCCGCACATACGTGCGGAATTGATTTCAAAAATTAAGTTTACTATCATGTTTGCAATATACGTACATGCAGTGTTATGTTTATAAACGTAATTATTAGAAATGTTAATAAAATTTGTAATCCGAACTTGTACAAGTTCAATATTTGTTTGTTTTTAATTCGGTATAGACAAAAAAAAAGATAGGATTGTTTTTTTCTATAAAAAAATAGTAAAATAAAAGTGGTTTGTTTATTTCGGAACATGAACCCCATCTCGTCTTGTTCCTTCCTAGATATCATGTTTTTCCATCTCCGAACCATGGTTTTAAACTTTTACTTATAATTTATCCATTTTTTTATTTTTGATAAACCCGATCGGTTGATCCGGTCAGCTCTGGGAGGATCACACCGAAGTGCTACAATGTGGACTCGTCGCCAATACCTAGGTGTTGGGCTACCACATCGCCTGAATCCAGATTAACGCTTTCCGAATCCAGATGAACGCTTTCCGACTAATGCCCGGGGGTAATCAGGCCGCCTGCATTTCTGATTACCAGGTAAACCAATTGGGCCTAAGCCCAACTGACAGACTTCCCCAAAAGATGGTGTTAACAGCAAAGTGGAGAATCGAACCCAGGTTATGGGAATTGCATCCTTCCTCCAAGCTCCCCTACCACCAGCCCACCACCTCTTGGGCTAATTTATCCATTTGAGATCGTATATTTTAATCTAACAAATAGGAAATAGGTAAAAAATCGAGACTTATTTGAATATATTTTTATTTGGTATGATATTTATAACATAAATCGAACCTTTTTATGATACCCTCTTTTAAAAATACCCTCTTTTTTGCCATTTTCATTTTTGCCTTCTCTTAAATTTTAATGGCCATTTTACCCCTAATTGAAAGAATATTCTTTCCCGCCAAATTTGTTTTACAAGATTTTTTAAAGGGTTTACAAGGGGTTTTAAAATGGTTTTTAAAAGATTTGTAATGGTTTTAAAAGGGTTTTAGAAGCTTACAAAGGTTTTTAAATGGTTTTTAAATGATTTACAATGGTTTTTAAAAGTTTTATAAGTTTATAACAGTTTTAAAAGGATTTACAAGGGTATTTAAAGGGTTGTAAAAAATTAGCAGGATTTTTAAAAGTTTTTGAAAGGATTTACAAGTGTTTTTAAAAGGATTTACAAGTGTATTTAAAGGCATACAAGGATTTAAAAATTGTTTTAAAAAGATTTACAAGGATTTTGAAAGATATTTACAAAGATTTAAAAATAGTTTTACAGAATTTACACGGGGGTTTAAAGGGTTTTAGAAGTTTACAAAGGTTTTTAAAGGGTTTACAAAGTTTTTTAAGGTAGTACAAGTTCTTTAAAATGGTTTTTAAGGTTTTTAAAGGGTTTTAGAATTTTACAAAAGTTTTTATTAAATGATTTATCACGGTTATAAGGGGTTTAAAGGGATTTTTAAGTGTTTTCAAATGTTATAAAATGATTTACAATGGTTTAAAAAAGTTTACTCAAGTTTTGAAAGGTTTTGGATGACTTTTAAAAGATTTACAAGGGTTTTTAAAGGATTTTTAAGGGATTTAAAAATATTTACAAGGTTTTTTAAGGAATTGCGGAAAAATTTAACTGAAAATTTTTTGTCGGAAATGTTTTGGCGGGAAATTTTTTTTTGGCAGGAAAATTTTGTCGGAAATTTTTGGCTAGAAATTTTTTCGAAGGAATATTCTTTTTGTGGGAAGGAATATTCTTGTTATTTCATGTGCCAATATTTGCAATAATAATGAAAGTTGAAATTAAGGTATTTAAATATCAACTTCTTGTATCATACAAGTTATCTAATATTTAAAAATTAAAATTGAACTTAACTATCCAAATATCCACCTTTTTGTTTCCTCAGTTTTAATGTCTCCATCTAGTCTAGTAGTTATAGTATGGACTATGTACTAATTATATGTAATATTGAATTTATCCTTTTCGTTTAGTAGAACAAACAAAAAGAGTAGAACAAAACAAAATAAAGAATCAGAATTTATTAGAAAGAATTACTTAGATAGACCACATTTTAGGTGTATTGACGGAAACCTACCAAAACTTTTTTTTATCCTTAGATGTTTTTTAATTACCAGCGTGCCCTTTTTACACGTTACCGAAAAAAAACTAATTACGAAAAATGCCACTGCCATGTCAGACAAAAAGGCGCGTGCCACCAATAACTCAGCCATAACGTACGTTACGACTGAGTTATGTCACGTTATGGCTGAGTTCTTGGAAAACGGCTGAGTTTTGGGCCAACGGCTGACTTACGATCATAACTCAACCAACAGTTACGACTAACTTATAAAAATCTGGTTGAGTTATGAGAAAACGGCTAATAACTCAGCCGCCTTTACGGCTGAATTATAGTCCGATGGTTGAGTTATCAGAAGTTTGGCTAAATTATGTTATCGACACGGCTGACTTAACTTTCTTCGGTTGGCTGAGTTATCGACAACAGCTGAGTTATCAAATGTCGTTACGGCTGACTTATGTTTCAGAGACATAACTCAGTCGTAATTGGCTGACTTAACGGAAAACTCAACCATGTTACGGCTGACTTATTGACAAAAGATTTATTGCTAATATAGTTTCCAGTTACGGCTGACTTATTTAACGTTACGGCTGACTTATTGACGTTACTGCTGAATTTGGCATCTGAAAAAACATTTTAGTAATTACTTAAATATTTTTCATGTTGTGGCTGATTTAAGTTGTGTTGATGGCTGATTTATTTTGGCTGAGGTAAAAATTTGTTTGGTGGCTAACTTGCGACTTCAAATACACAATTACACGTCATCATTCCATGTCATCATAAACGAGGGATATACGAAAGGTCGCCCTCTTCAACATGAGATTTTCTTTCTTTTTACACTTTTTTTTTTTTTACCTGAGTTCTTCACTTGTTCTTCACCTGAGTTCTTCTTCATTTTCGTTGATGGATCTGGTTCTAGTAATTGTTGTTTATGGTAATTGGGTAAAAAACACAAATATGTATTTAACGGCGACGATACAGGGTGTAGAGTTGTGCAGATAGATGTTGAAAGAACACACGAAGAGCTTATGAAGTTGGTTCTCGATGACTACAAATTGAATGAGTTGAGCCATCAGGTAACGATGAGCTACATGTTATCGTTACAATAATTCAGCCAAACCTCGAAATGGTCTGTGTAAGTCAACCATGACGCTGGCATAACTCAGCCAAACCACAAATTTATTTACGTTAAGTCAGCTATGTTGTTTGAATAACTCATCCAAACCTCGAATTATTCTACAATAAGTCAGCCATGCCGTTGGCATAACTCGGCCAAACCTCAAATATGGTAGATGTGAATATTTGATGCACTCATGTAATAAAAACACTTTAATCATATGTAGTTAACACTTTTATTAACTTTCCATAAAAAAAATCATGAAATTCGCTCAGGTTTGTTATCCAACAAAACGATAAACCCCAAACCATATACTTATGTTCTATTCCTACACAGTTGATCAAACATAGAATGTAAAAGAGCTGTTATTGATTTTTTTTATTGTATTATAATATATTTAATCTCTACATTATTATAACTAGTGCTAATGTTAACATTCAAGTGTCCCTTTAAATTAAAGTTTTAGTCATTAGTCAACCTTGAAAAGTAAATAACTCAGCTGTGACGTATTATTCTATATTTAGACACAAAACTTTGAATTATTTTGTTTAGAAAATTTGAATTCAAATTTTGAATTATTTTGAATATATTTTTTTAAAACATAATACTCTACGACTTTATTATGCATGTGTGTGTGAATATGTGTACGTAATTATTATTGGTCTTTCCCAAAAACAAATTTTTGTAATCTCGAGAATGTATATCACAACTCATCCGTAATGTAGCATAACTCAACCGCAATGTAGCATAACTCAGCCGTGACGTATTATTCTATATTTAGACACAAAACTTTAAATTATTTTGAATATTTTGTTTATAAAATTTGAATTCAAATTTTGAATTATTTTGAATATTTTTTTTAAAAACATAATACTCTATGACTTTATTATGCGTGCGCGTGTGAATATGTGTACGTAATTATTGTTGGTCTTTCCCGAAAAACACTTTTTGTAATCTCGAGAAAGTATATCATAACTCAGCCGTAATTTAGCATAACTCAGCCGTAATGTACCATAACTCAGCTGTAATGTAGCATAACTTAGCCACAATGCGGCATAACTTAGACAAAAAGTTGAAAATGACGTTTCGTATTTCCCTTTTGTTTTTTGTCGGAAAACGAAAAGTCTCCAGCCGAGTTGAAACAAAAGGCGATTGCAATGACGACGAGAGAGAGACTCGTCGGTATGAGTCGAAGCGGACGAAAGAGATGAGAGAGAGAAGCGGCGAGAACTAGAGTTCTTCGCTGGAATCGCCGAGGTAGAGATATTTTTTCCTATACGTGAACAGTTACAAAAAAAAAACACAACTCAGCCGTAACTTACAATAAGTCTTAATATAACTCAGCTGTAATGTGCCATAACTCAGCCGCAATGTGTCATAACTCAGCCGTAAACGACGTTTCGTATTTCCCTGTTTTTTTTTGTCGAAAAGCGAAAAGTTTCCACCCAAGTTGAGAAGAAATGCAACAACAATGACGACGAGAAAGAGAGAGACACACCGATAATAAGATAAGCGGCCAGAAGAGACGAGAAAGATAAGCGGCGAGAGTTAGGGTTCTTCGTCGGCTTCGAGAGAGAAAGAACAATTTTTTTCTTATTCTTTTTAGTCTTCTAC